GTTGCATACTGGTCTGTTTGTTCTCTAGCTTGTGGTTGTACTGAGTTTCTCAAAGCGAACCATTCATAGTTTGCCCATGTTACTGTTTGAACTAAGTCAGAGTTAGAATATATCTTATATCCCATGAAAACTTCTGGAGCATATTGGTATCCGACATAGAAAATTCCATTGCAACCTTTCTTGTCAGACAACTTGCAGAAGGTTTTATTTCAATGTCTTGTTCCACGTATAAGAAAGAGTTGTCAATAGAAATAATGAAACCTGTCGCAAGCAATATCTACTGTTGTTGAAGAACCTTCTCCAAACTCACCTACGTTTCCATAAGAAACAGCAGTTGTATATTCGTAAGTTCCAGAACTATTTCTGACCTTCTAATGGCATTGTCGCATTCGTTATACCATTCGAAACATTTCCATTCATAGCATCCAAAAACTGTTTGGCGTTATATTCTGAGCGGCGTACATTTCATATGGGTAAAAATATAGAATAGTTGGGTTTATGTGTCATAATAGAACCCACGTGGACCAAGCTTTACTTTCTTCCTGACTGAGTTTTTAACTCTTCTTTTTCCTTCATTGCCACTACTTTCACTAGATGAAGTTACTTCTTCACTACTTTCACTTTGTTCTACTCTTCTTCTTTGGTGTCGCTTTGGTAACTTGCCCTCTGCTTCAAGTTGTTGCATCTTTGCCTCATGTTCATCTAGTATGTTGCAAATTCCCATGCCTTTTTGCCTTTTGGCTCTGGTCGCCCATCTCAGGTAACCTATATCTAGAAAGAGTTTGTCATAGTTTGTATTTGAGTCGTCGCTATTGTTTGCATGACTCTGTCCTGAGTTTCCGGTTCAAGCTCTTCAAACAGTGCCTGTCCATATGGAATAAGCTCGTTTCCAAATATATGTTTTTGTAGCCATTCTGGTTTTCTTTCCATGTTACCACAATATCTTTTGTGAATGGGAAAGCTTTTACCCAATCTTTCAGTCTTGCGTCGTTTATTTCTGTAGTTGGTTTTATTTTGTCAAGGAACATGTTTTTCAAATACTAACATTTCATTTGGTACTGTCCATTTGAGTTTTCTAATATTCATCCCTTCTCAGTTCATTGTCTGCAAAGTAAGTTTTTATGACATTTTGCAAACTTTCGTTTGCAAGGTCATGTACAATAGGTTCTCTTCCTTCTCTCTCCCTAACTCTCTTTCTAAACTCTTCACCAAATATACCATCTCTATGGTTCTGTGTAGTTCTTTGAGATAAATGTTTCTAGAACGTCAGGTGTTATGTTTCCATCAGCCATGTTCATTTCATACTGGTCCAAAATATTCTGCATGTTTCATATCTTTCAATGGCATTAAAGCCGCGCTTAAAATACCAGCTATATCTGGTTCACCATTGACTTCCATTGCGTCTACAACTTTTGGAATGTGTTGTAAGTTTATGACCACCTATCCGGGTTAGCTTTATGACCCATCTCATTGTAGTTCCATCGTCTGCAGAAACAAAAGTAGGTTTGTTTCCATCTTGGCTAGGTTCTGAATGAACTTTAAACAATGTTCATTCTATATGTTTTCTTGAAATTTAACCTTTTATCTTCACCGAGTTCATCCAAAGATTGAACGTTAAATGCTCGTAAGTAAAAAGGGTTGTTGTAGTTTTGTGTACATTTTCTTTCAGTGCTTCCATTCTATGCTGAATATTTTCATCTGGTGTTGGAGTCTTTTGTATGTCGCAAACATTTTTCGATATTCTTCTACTATGTCAGCCGAATTTTTTTTAGACTCTTGAAATATTCATATTCTCCGCTAACTTGTTGAGGTCAAGATTTTTCGGCTGTTCCAAATCTTCATCTAGTTCTGTGAAGTTAGTTTCCAAAAGGAGTGACTTGTTCGTTTCCTTCAGGCTCTTCTAGCTGTTGTTGCTGAACTATTTCTTCCATGTCTGGTTGTATCTGAACTATTTCTTCCTGTGGAGTTTCTTGTACCTCATCTGCTGGCATTTCATATATTCCAAGACGGTTTTTAACAAATTCCCTATTTAAGTCATCCGCATTCATAAGCCTTTGTTCTTTCGTTCCGTCTCTATTTTTTACGCGTTTCATGAAGATAGTTGAATCGTCATTTAGCTCTGACATCAAATATCTCGGAGTAAATTCATCCATGTCATTTGGATGATATGCTATTAAATCATATCCCTTTGCGAGCTTGTATTTTCCAGGTTTGAGATTATATTCGATTTGGTGCTGAGTCATAAAGCTAAATAGGTTCGGGTCAGTATTTCCTTCCTTGAACTTTCCAATAGCTTCTTTATATCTGTCACTAAAGTCAAGAGTATCTGGGTAACCATACTCTTCCTTAAGCATTTTTAAGAATTCTTGGTTTCCTTGTTCTCTACTTCTTTTATGTCCTTGCTCTGTTTGTGGTTGTTGTTGTTGTTGTGCTGGTTGTGGAGGTGGTTGTTGTGCAGGGTTTTGAACTGTTGGTTGTTGTGTTGGTTGTGGAGGTGGTTGTTGTGCTGGTTGTTGTGTTGGTTGTTGTGTTGGTTGTTGTGTTGGTTGTTGTGTTGGTTTTGGTGCATGCCTGTGTCTGTGTCCATGTGACGATGTAAATGTTTTAGGTAGTCCTGGTGCAGGTGCTTCTCTTGGAGGGTTTGGTGGTATATAAGTTCCACCAGCTGGCACATATGTTCCATCTGCAGCGTAATGTCCTATCTGACTTTTCGTTCTTAAGAAAGCATTTACTAGGTCTGTTTTGGTCTGTTGTAACTCTTTTTCTTGACTTTTCACAACAGTTGCTCTAACGGCGTCATAGGCACTTTGAACTGCCTGTCTCGTTGCTGCATCTGTTATTTTCGTCATATTTTGTGCTACTTCTCTTAACTCTTTGTCGAAACCTTCAGACTTCAGTTTCTTTCCAGATGAGAAGTCGTTCACTTGTTTCACCTTACTATGAAGAGCTTCGAAGGCGTTCTTAAAGTCAGCATTTGTTAAAGCTTCATTTGAACTGTCTTCATCCGCTTGTATTTTTGTCCTTATCGACCCTATGAGTTGGGCTGCTTTGGCGTTGGCTTGGGCATCTAACCAGTCATTGTTAGCTTTTATATATTCTGCGCTTTTCATTGCCTTTTGCATAGCCGCGTCGTTATTTTTACTTTCTTGTGCTAAGTTTTCATACTGTACGGTTTGGTTTTGCAACTGTAAAAGTTTTTCTGCCTTTACATTTGCTTCAACTTCTTTTTTATACTCATCGCTATCCATATATGTCTTCAGGGCTTTTTGTTTTATCTCTTCATCTTTCAGTATTTTATATTGAGTAGTATGGTTTTTCAAATTTATGACATCTTGTTCCATTTTTGCTACTTCTGTTGCTTTTTCTGACACTTTTTTCGCATATTCCTCTGTACTTAGTTCTTTCAGTTGTTCTTCTTTCTTCTTTTTCTCTACGTTTAACTCATTGAGTTTCTTTGTGTGTCTGTCATATTCTAGTTTCTTTTCGTTTTCACTTATTTGCTTCTGTATGTCTATGTTTGACTTTTTGACATCTGTTATTTGATTTTTGAGTGAACTCAAATTCATTTGACTTTGAGGGTTATAGGCTGTTCCGTCTGCAGCTCCACCATAGCCTGCCATTTTCGCTAAAAGTGCCGCTCTTAAACCTCCACTCTGTGCACCAATGACTCGGTTTAAAAGCATAGGATTGCTTGACATTTGTTGCAACATAGTGGGGTCATTCAGCATTTGTTGTTGCAACTGTTGTTGTGGTGTCAGTCTTACTATTGGATGTTTCAATGCTCTCTTCCTCTTACGTATCTTACGTGGCATTTTAAGTGAAGTTAAAAAGCGGCTTTATACTAAACATCTTCGGGGCTAGAGGGCACGAAGTGCCTGGAAGCCCCAATACCTTTTTTTTTTTTTTTTTTATATATGTATATATTTATATATGTATATATTTATATATGTATATATTTATATATGTATATATTTATATATGTATATATTTATATATGTATATATTTATATATGTATATATTTATATATGTATATATTTATATATGTATATATTTATATATGTATATATTTATATATGTATATATTTATATATGTATATATTTATATATGTATATATTTATATATGTATATATTTATATATGTATATATTTATATATGTATATATTTATATATGTATATATTTATATATGTATATATTTATATATGTATATATGCATGTATTTATATATGTATATTTATTTAAAAAAATTAAAAATAATATAATTAAAATTTATTTATATTTTAAATTTCATACTGATCTTCGATTCCAATTTGTGAATTGATATCATTAACAATTGAATTTCGGTGCACCCCTATGAGAGCGCTGGCGACCGAAACACAACTAGTAAGATTGTGTATTAGAAACTGCTTCATGCTGTGTTGAGTAAGCTTCGATGTCTTTGTAGGATAGCTTTCTGAGAGCGAAACAAGATAGTGTTGAAAAAAAAATTGAAAATCTGAGAGACTGTGCAAGAGCCAACGACCAAAACACTACCAGTAAGATACAGCAGTAGTAGCTGCTTCATGCTGCATTGAGTATTGTTGAATAATTTGAAGTAGTGGTTTTTGAAATCAGCACCCCTATGAGAGCGCTGGCGACCGAAACACAACTAGTAAGATTGTGTATTAGAAACTGCTTCATGCTTTGTTGAGTAAGCTTCGATATCTTTATCAGACCACCTTTAAATTAACCACTCACATTCTCACTGTGGTCCATCTAAAATTTGTAAACTTTATGACATAAAATTATATTTTATGCAGGATCCCACCTATTACTTAATCTTTTTGGAATAAATGTTTTATAATATTTATCGATTGATTGTAATTTTTTGTATAAAAAAAAGTTTTTTATTTATATTAAAAATATATTCGGTTAATGATATTATCTTATAATTTGTAAATAAATCTAGTAATAAAATAACTTTAATAGTTGGTGTCACTTTTTCGAAAATTCTGGTTTTTTCAATATTTCTGTCGTTCTTTACTAAGTTTCTTAACAGCTCTGAAGAACCATGTGTTTTGACTCAAACATCCTTCACAACTTCTCTCATTCATTCCTAGTTCTTTCATGTCATTATCTTCAACCTCTATGGTCTCATTGACTAAGGTCAAAGGGTTCTTAGTCATTGCTGGTCTTATCTGAAACAATGTTTGTGCAACAGGTTTAACTAGTTCAGCAACGTCCTTCCTTAATATGAATAGCTGTTTCCACTCATCTTTGCTAACAGTTCTTTCATAACCACTGACAGTAATGATTTCATTTGCTGACCTTAGACACTTATGTTCTATCATTTGTATTGCTTTTGTGTAAGGCTTTCGTGAGCATATGTTGTATATGTCATTCCTGCAATGTTCATTCATGCCAATAGTACTAAATCCTTTCTTTGCTGTTGAGTGCATAATATCCATTAGTTCCTGTGTTCGTATTGCTGTCTCATAAAATACAACAAGACCTTTGTCATCTATGACGTACTTACCGAAAACATTGCTTATATTCTTTAACCATGAAATAACATCCTCATTCATGCTGTCAAACATGAAGTAAGGTCTTACATACTCTTCATTTATAAGATACTCCACAAAGTACTTGTTAAGCTCTATGTCCTCGTGAGTGATTTCATTAGGTTTGATATTAGTTCCTTTTGTCATTGCTGTCATGTACTTCACTCTCATAGTTCCTTTCAATAGCGTAAAAATACTTCATTGTTTCATAACTGCTCTAAATTCTGTTCAAAATTCGTACAACATAACTTTTTAACATTAGTGAAAGAATATGAGCGAAACAACAACATCTAACATTACAGAAGAAGTCAATGACAATGCCGATGAAAACATTATAGAAGGAGCTAGTGAAAATATTGACGAGTTCAGTGAGGAAGAAGATATTGAGGACGTCAATGAGAACGTTAGTGGGAAACATTGAGAAATCATGAAGATTATGAGATTTGTACGACATATCCTTTTACTATTCGTCGAAAGAAAAACAAACATATTAAGAGTGAATGCTTAAATAATCATGGTTATATTGAGCTTAGTTTAAACAACAAAACGCATTTAAAGCATAGAATTATTGCAGAACAGTGGATTGAAAATCCAAACAATTTGAAAGAAATAGACCATATAAATCATGATAGAACGGACAACAGAATCTCAAACCTTCGTTGGTGTTCTAGATCTGAAAACAATAGAAATAAAAACAAGTATGGCGATATAGTTTATGAGTTCGTTGATGAAATATCTGACGAAGCTGTTGAAATAACAGATTATGGTAAGCATTCGTTTGAGTTCTACTACTATGTTGAGAATGAGGACGCATTCTATTATTATACAGGTCTTAACTATCGAAAACTTCATATAAACTTTACAAAAACAGGTGCTGCTTATGTTTGTATGATAGATACAGAAAACAAGAGAGTAATTTTATGCATAAACAAATTCAAACGCTTGTACGGCTTCATGTAGGACAAACATTATTTTTCAACACTAACGCCAACACTTAGGACAAACATTCATGACTAACATTACTGTATAACATAAATGTTTTGTCATGACTTCATCGTATATGTTTTGTCATGACTTCATCGTAAATGTTTTGTCAAAACTTCTTCGTATATGTTTTGTCATGACTTCATCGTAATGAACGTATATGTTTTGTATGATATATTATTTCAAAATTGTACAACTATGATTATTTCAACAAAAAATATCTTACTTTTTCACTTCACTTTCACCCTCACTTTTTCCGTAATTCAAATTTCAACATTATGTATTTTAATTCCTTATAGTATTTTTAACATAATTAATCAAATAATAATTGGAAGTTCTGAACTCACTTTTTCCGTAATTCAAAATCAAAAATATGAATAATATATCTATTTATTATATACTAATGCTATTTTCAACTAGAAGTGAGGTACGGTAATCTTACGGATTCCCGTAACTCCATTTTACGGAAAAAGTGCAGTAAACTACTCAATTTACAAGAAAAGTGTCGTAAACTATTGATGTGGCGGTAAAATCACGGTAATTCACGGAAAGCTATATGCGAAAATTTGAAATTATACAAAATCGAGCGAAACACTTTTAAATAGGTTGTTCTCGTATTTAAAATACTATTCCCAGATTTATTGTCGTCAGAATATTTCCAAATTATAGATCCGTATTTTTCCCAAGTGAGCGGGGTATCTCTAATCCCAGCCCTATCGTCCTCCCAGTGTCAGTTTTTAATATAAAATCCAAAATTTTTTTAAAAATAAAAATTTCGAGAAATTTTTCTAGCTTTTTTTCTTTGATTTTAATAATTCAAAATAAATTTTGGAGTAAAAAGACACTATTTAATGAAATTCATATGAGTGAATGTGGATAAATACTCTCAAAACATACAATTTATATATTTTTTTCTTTATATTATCAACTAATTAGTGATAATTTTTTTTGAATCAGATTTTTTTTTCATTAAAAACATAATATATAACACAACAATGATGCACACATACGTATCTACACATCAAAATATAAAGCTTGTTTTGGTCTGGGCATCCCAACCCAAAATTCTAAAAAAATTGAATAAAATTGAATACTTGGGGCTGGGATACCCAGCCCGAAACCGAATTGATTTTTTTGAATTAAAGAATATATTTACGTATTTATAATATATATGTGATGTTTATAAAAAATACTAAATTTTTGTAAAAAAATTCAATTTATTCAAAACGTATATTAAGTGATCACTTCATTAATAGGATCAGCGATCCTACTAAATGGTGAGAATGCCACTAGCTAAAAAGGGAGTCCTTGGAGCTCTTGATCTCTTGTCAGTAGAGTCCATAATGAGGCATGGCATCTACTGATTAGAGATCAGAGCAATCCTACCTTACCTTCAGGAGCTACAAAGCTCCTAATCGTTACGAGAGGGAGCCTCGGAGCTCCTGAAGCTCATCAGCAGAGGATATTTACCATTTGGGCCTCTTTTGATGAAAGATACGAAGCCCATCTACGAACCAGGAGCTCCAAAGCTCCTAATCCTTACGAAAGGGAGCTTTGGAGCTCCTGAGTCTTCATCAACAGAGTCCCAGTTGATAAATATCCTATGCTGATGAAAGATGCGAAGCACATCTTCGAACCAGGAGCTCCAAAGCTCTTATTCCTTACGAAAGGGAGCTCTGGAGCTTCTGAAACTCCTCCTATTATAAAATAGGACAGTTTTCTTCTGAGGCTTCTCATCAAATCTAAGACTTCAGAAGAAAGCTGTCCTATCCGTGTATACTTACATTCTGATGGACTACAAGTGTACAACTTTAAGGCAGAGATTATCCGAGGCCTCTCATCAAATGAGGGACCTCGGATAATCTCTGCCTTAAGTAGTCAAATAGCTTTTCTGACTATTCAGGGACAAGAGAACAAGAGTTGGAATACTCTAAGGCAAGGTTCTTCCGAAATCTCTCATCGAATGAGAGACTTCAGGAGGACCTTGCCAAATCCTTGAACACCGATATCCTTGGAACCGAGCTAGGACCAAGGAGAAGTAGTGTGCTATAGCGCACGATGGCAATCTCGGAAATACTTATATTGCCACATGCACAATATCTATTCAGCCTGACTCCTATATACAAGAAGTCAGGCAGAATAGATATTGTGCATATGATTTGCAGAACTCTCATATATATAAATTTTTGTTATCCCAAAAAGGTGACACTTTGGGTGTATCGTCCATCCCAGGGATGCAAAATTCACATCACCTTGTATCTATATTCCAAATTTTTGCCGATTTACAAAAAATGATTTACAAAGCATATTTTTAATCTAAAAAATTCCTAAAAAAAGGAACCGGTGTGCGGAAACCTCGGTAAATTACCGCGGTTCCCGTTGGGACTGCCATAATATGAAGTATATTGATAAGGTAAAAATCAAATTTTATTGCATATTCATCGAGAAAATAAACTAACGAATCCCTCAAAATTGAGAGGGTAATCCTCCTCCTCTCAAATAAACGTACATACGGGTGCACCCTTAAAACTAACAATGCTTATTTTTTCAAGGTAAATAACAAGTTTATAAGTACACACAAAAAATACAAAAATAAAACAATATAACATGTTAAAACAAAACTTTCGAGCTGGGAGATCTTGGAGATAAAGACATACTCCTCAAACTTTGATTCATGGAAGAAAGACTTTTGTTTTCTGTTTCTAATCTTTGGATCTTTTTCAGAGCTGCCGCGTAATTAGGACTTACATCATTTTGCTCTAGGAAATCTGATCTAGATTTCAAATCTTCATTTTCTTCTTTTAGTTCAGAAATTTCTTTATTTTTCTCTTCAATTGTGTTAATTAGTTGTTGAACATTAGGAGCAAAGCCGTTTTGATAGCCTCTAGATCTATCAGCAACTGATCTGACTTCAGAAAGTAAATCTGTAAATGATCCTTGCAAGATTTCGTTATTGATTGAAACATTACTTGAAACTTTTAAGAAAGAAGAGAGTTTTCTGAATAAATCATAAAGTGGAGAAGCTACATCAAGAGCAGCAAACGATGGTTCGCATCTATCTCCGATAGAATCTATTAATTTCAATCTTCTGTGTTCATTTATTGATTCCATTTTTCTGTTTTTAAGTTCAACAGAATGTTCATCGATCATGGTACGGATTCTGTCATTGAGGTTAGTGATTTCGGCTGAAGATTGTTCGAAATCAAATTTTGTTTGATTTAATTCTGACTTAAGTAATTTGCACTGTTCTGAGAGAGTGTTATTCAGTTCTGAAAGTTTTTGATTCTGGGTTTGAGCTGCTGCCAATTCTTTTTGTAGATTTAAAATTTCATCTGACTGAGTTTTGATTTGAGCTTCATAATCAGAGATTTTATCACTTGTAAGTTGCATTTTATGAATAAGTTCAGCATTCTCTGCCCTTTTAGGCTCAATTTGATTCTTTGTAGGTTTAATTTTTTCACTTGAGAGCTCTATTTGTAATTTTTGGATTACAATTTTAGCAGATTCCAACTCTCGCTGGCATCTAAACAAGTGCTGTAGAGATTCAAATCCTTTTTCTATTGATTCAACTCCAAATTCGTTAATTATACGTTTCTCGAGAGTTTTGAGTTTGCTTTCTGATAACAATGCATTTGAATTAGACTCTTTGGCTTGTAGTTGGAGATCGTTATTTTGCTTTGTTAATTCGTCAATTTCTGCTTGGTATTTTGAAATCTCTTCTTTCAATCCTATTATAATTGTTTTATTCTCCAATTGGTTAACTTCTGCCTCTTTTTTGATGATTTCAAGATTTTGTTTCATAATTTTCGAGGCAAATTGTTCCTGTTGCTGCATTAGTATGGCAGCAGATTCTAATTGAAGTTCATTTTCAGTTTCATCGTTCTGTAATTCCATATTTTCTCCAGTTTCAGAGATCATTTTCTGAAATTTATGAACGTTTAGAAATTTATCCATGATTAATCTCTCCCCAATTATTTTTTTTTAACCCCTTCATAATTTTTTACATGACTTCAAACAATCAATTAGCATTTGCATGCGTATGCGCTTCAAACGTTAACAGATCTATGGAAGGCCATAGAGTTCTAAAAGAAGCAGGATTTAATGTTTCATCCTATGGAACAAATGATTACGTCAAAATGCCTGGTGCTTCAAATGTTCCACTCCAATTCGATTTCGGTGCGACTTATAAAGAAATTCTTTCTAAAATGGAATCTGAAAATAATCAATATTATGAAGAACAAGGTTTAATCAAAATGCTTCGTGACGATGCAAATACAAAAGAGAAACCAGAAAGATGGTCAAGTACTTTCAACCCCGCTACACTTAAATATTTTGATGTTATTTTTACTTATGATAATAATGTTATGGATAGAGTTCTTAACGAATTTAGAGAAAACGGTAATAGAACATTCCAAATATCACATGTTGTTAACATTCAAACACCCGATTCTCGTGACAATGCCATATTATCTAGACAATATACCTTACGCTTGGCCCAAATGCTTTCAGCAGCAACAGATTTAACAGAGAATCTCGAATCTATTGTAGATCAATTTAATATGGAAAATGGCAATCCAAAAGACTCTTTTGTAGCATCTTTTCATATTGTTTCTTATTAAATACTACTATTTCTTGTTTAAAATTCATCCGCCTTGATTTTTTTTTTGCACAATATATATATAAATCATTGTATATGAAAAATAAAATGTATTTTTTTTGGAGAAATATAAATGTTTACAACAAACAAAGCATAAAATATGTTAATAGAAATATCCAACAATACAACAACTAAAATAATATGAAAGGAAAAGATTGATGTCATCATTACAATTAATTTCGATGTTTTCCAAGTAAATACGATTCATCATGATTACCATCTGATGTTGAATCAAAGATATTTGTTTCTTTTTGCTGAAAAGCAAAGACTACTAAAGGATAAATCGAATACACTGAAGCTGAGAGGACAAATATTACTACAATTATAAGGGAGAGTGCATTTAGCATTGATGATTTGGAAAAAACGTCAGTAGAATTGTAAATGTATGGACTTGTTTCGTTATTTGTTGTGTTTACTTTTTTCGCTTTTAATTCCAATCCAACTGAGACATTTTTAGAAGGCACTTTTGTTTTGTAGGCTCTAGGTCTATAAACTATCCTTATAGAACATAAAAGAAAGAGAAACATTATTTGTCAATTTTTTTCGATTACTTTCAATCCAATAAAGAAGAGAATACAGAATACCCATTTTGATCGATATCATATGCTAATTTATAGGAAATGATAGATGATACAAAGAATTTAGAATTTGAACCAAATTAGATAGTGTAAATAGTCATTTTAGAAACCAGGAAAAAAAGCGCACATAGGAAACTCAAATCACTTAATAAGATTGCAAAAAGAGAATAAATCTCTTCATAATACTCTCATTTATTATTAAAATATGAGGAATTAAATATATAGTACATGATTATTTCCAATAATACAATAAAAAAAGTTTACGCTGATGAATAAAACAAAAATGATTTCTACTTTGACTTTAATTGTTTGAAAATGTTATTCCATTGAAGGGCATCTTCATAATTACTGAATGAAAATGTATAAACGTCTTTTCCAACAGTAATTTTCATGATATTCTTTCTATTTTGTTCTGTCACAGTTTCTTGCAAAACTTCAAGTTTTGTGACCTCAGAAATGTAAACGGCTACACCTCCTTTGTTGTTTGTCTTGTCAGGTGACCACATCAAGATTTGAGGTTCTTCGAGAAGAGAAAGCCATGTATTATTCCACTTCTTAGAGAAGAGGCGTTGGTTCTCGAGGATAGATACTTGAGTCCTATGAAGAGTGTAATTTGTCTTAACTTCAGATCTGCTTTCTGGGGCGTTCAAAATTTGCTTCCTATCATTCCTGAGAGTTTCAATGATACCAGTCAACTCCTTTTTAAGGGTTTCCTGGATCTGTGTAAACTCATTCGGAAAAGAACGTGTTGTAAGCAGTAAAACAGATGGAAGAAAAGACAGATGAGCAGGTAATTTTTCAATTAATGATAGAATAATTGTCGAATGCTCCATTGTTGCGTTGATAATGCCAGGTTGGTTTCCTAATTCGCACATAACGCTAAGAGCGATAACATTGTATATAACAGCGGTTTTGGGATTCGGTGAAACAATTGCTTTGAGGATTTTTGAAAGGACTTCGCCAACATTTTCTGCTGAACAGATAATTTTCACGACATCTTCGAGTTTTTCTATAATGATTTCATCATACGATATGAATGGAAGATATCCGATTGAGGAATGCTCTGCAATCGCGATGATCATTTCTAAAGTTAGTGGATTATCATGTTTAATTTGCGATGAAATGAGTCCGACAATCGAAGACATGTCAGGGTAAAACTGTGTGCATGGGGTTGGGTTCTTTAGAAAAGCTTGTGAGATATCATATGATAATGTAAGCAAAGGCATGATATAATCGTTGTATAACTCTGTATTATTTTCAATTCCATTCGTAATTCCGTTAATTAGAATCGTAACTGTTGAAAAAGATGGATATGGAGAACAACATAATGCCATTATTACGAGGCGAAGTTGCTCGAAATTATCAATGAAGAGTTGAGGATTGGAATATGCCATCATACTAACTAATTTTGCTGTAGATTGTGCAATTTCAACATCAGGGGAAAGCAATAAATCGAAAATGTTACTCATTAATATAAAATATGTAAAGTAATAATTTACGTGACAAAATTATATTTTCTTATGATTTTATGGAAAAAGAATGCTTGTGGGTAATTCTAATTCAAATGTTTGCAATATTCTAATTCGCTTATACTAAAAGATAAACCCACGAAAAGCGACACCTTACTTCTTTTTTCCATGTCAAAAAGGTGGTTTAAAATTAGAAGAAAGGTAAAAAGGCTCAAAGCACAAATTGCCGAATATGAATATAATCTGAGGAAATAACTGTTTGTTTGCACTTTAAACATAATTGCTCTCTGCTGCAAGAAATATGAATTTATATCATATGATTTAAAAATATTGGAAATCGAACATAAGTTGAAAATCTCGAGTTCAAATCCTCAAAGAGTTATGAATAAAGTATTCAATATTATATGCATTCATTTGTGAATTGTATAATTATTTTAAAAATGTGGACTTTTTTTACATCGCAATAAATTACCTTTTATTCTATAAAATAATAAACAAACATATATAATAAATTCATATGATTTTCACAATTTCTTTCGAAATTTACAAATACGAAATCCAATTCAAGAGCAATTAGACTTATTGTATAAATTGGCTGAGCCAGCGGATTTATTATATTTTAACTTAAAATCAGAAATGGAAAACCATCCAAATTTTGTAATTTGACAATTTTTTTTTTGAAACATCCTGAACTTGTGCATAAAAGTGACAGATATTATTTCTTTGAAACTTTTTTGTACATTTTCTTTGGTTTATCTTCATTTGTTAAAGTATCGTGAGAGATAGGGATTGCCTTTACTTTCTTTGGACTTTTAGAATGGTAGTTTTGTTTCTGATCATTTGTTTTTTCGTTTTTGTTATTTGCAGCAAATCCAAACTCTTCGTCTTCATTATCTTGTCTAAAATCAGTAATATTCGCATTAAATCGCATAACTTTTGCTGGACCACGTGCCTGGATGTCAAATTTTGACTGTGGATATCTGAAATTTCTTGTAGAGTCTTTGTCAGCGCCAGGCGGGAGCTGAGGAACATCGGAATCACTTGGCATATCCCAGAAAGGTGTTTCCATCTGAAATTCAGGTAATTGCATGGCAGATGGAACAAAATAGTCAACTTCTTCATCATCACGGATCGTAAATGGATCAATATCATCTCCGAAATCATTTTCTTCCTTTATGTCGTCAAATCGAGTGACTTGGCCCGTAATTCCACGGCCACTGTGAATTCTGATCGCTTTCTTCGAATATGAGCTTTCCGTTTTGGCGTACGTCGGCATCTTCGGAAGAACAACTGGTTTAAGAAGCTGGACAATCTTCTTTGGCTTAATTTTTGGCTGTGGATCGTAAATTCGAAGGAAAAATCTCGACAAAACAATGGTAAATGACCAGCCTAGCATTGTTTCAGCGACAGTGTTGGCTGTAATCACTTTGGAAATTGAATCTTTTAAGACGTCATAAAATTTCTGGCAAAACATCGCTTTCATGCAGTTATGGATAGAATATCCTAATGACTTGTTATCAGGCATGCCATATCTGACTTCAAAGTTGAGATCTGAGATTTTCAGCAAAAATGCGTAATATTGAGGATAAAAGTTGAATTCTAATCTCGGATTCCATTGATAATACATCTTAGTTTCCCCACCAAATAGGTTTAAAGTGAAAGGAACGTATAAAATATTGAGAAGTGTATCTAAATTTTTTGGATGTTGCATTTTGAGGGTTTTTACGAAATGATATGGCCTTAGGAAAAATCCATAAATCATTCCGAACCCAAAGAAAATGCTTAACATCAAAGTTAAAGTTCCAACATTATTATATCGAACATTAATGTAAGAACGGAGGATATTTAATGCTAATCTCCATTCAGGTGGTATATAGGAGTACCCTGCCATTATGTATTTCAATACACTAAAAACTAATTTTTCACATTCTCTGATATTTGGCTGATCGTATTGATCTGTTAAATTTTCCTTTGAATCTATCAGATCTACAATCTTATGGAAGAAATGTTCATGGTAATATGACCAGAAATTTCGTCCAAATGCACGTGCAAAGAGAAGGAAGTGGTTTGGCTGGAAGAAAGTCATAGGAGTTGGGAAAGATCCTTCTTGAAATGTCAAAGAAAAAACACAATGAAGAAGAACTTCGAGTTTTTGCGCATGTTGGAAGCATTTAACGATTCCTTCCCATATTACTAAATCGTATATATCTGTTCGCATAAAACTTTGCACTAAAATGCAATCCGTTGATGTTAAAGATTGATAAAAAGCATCATATAAAATTCCTGGATAAAATTCTAAGGAATCTTTGTAAAAAAATGGAAATGGCAATTTAACATGCGTAAATATGATGTCCCAGAACTCCGTGGTGGCTTGAGTTAATGGAGAAAAGTCAATTAAGTTTTGATGAAGATTATCAAGGACAGTTACTGAAGTTTTTTCTGAATTTGAAACTGTTTTGGATATTTCTTTCTCTAACTTAAGTTCACATCCTTTTTTATTAACTCGATATAAGTAAAATTTTCTATCGCGATCTAAAACAGCCCAATATTCAGGTTTTCCTTTAATAGAACACGCAGTAACTGCCATAAGTTTCGGATTTTGAAGACAGCTCTTTTGTGTCCACATTTGCGAGAAAATTCCTGTTCTTAGGAAGTAAAAGAACTTTTGTGGGTCTTGAACACGATGTAATATTCGACAAAGAAATACTAGAAGCGATGGTAAAGTCGGAGAAATTTGACAAATAGGAGGTTCCCAACGAGTTACCATTGGAGCACCAATTTTAGGAGGAGTTTGATTAATGATGAATCCTCCAACAGCTTGCAATATTTGTGGCACATTTGTAAACATGTCTTCCCTTGAAATTTTGTCAAATTCAGTAACGAAATCATCAATATACGAAGCTGCTGATTTATTTTGAATGAGTGGTAAGTCATCGATAGATGCTTCTTCAATATTTACCCAACAATCAGGATGGTATATAGAAAAGTCAATAACATGCATTGATGAGTATTTTGTGTAGAAATTAGATAGTGAGGGATACTTATCATCAGATAATATTATGAAAGCATCTGAGTATTCAGGTTGATCAGGTTTATCTTCTAGGGGAATTTCATTTTTTTCTTCAGTCATTATAAAAAAAAATTTCAGAAGATTTTTTTTATTTTGAAACATCATTTTTTTTGGCGTTATCTAACGCTTTTCATATGATAGGAATTACATTCTTTGCTCAATTGATGTATTTGATCAAACCCAATCAGTGCCCATATGAAATCATATACCCTGCATTATCCTTTTATAACGTCGAATTGATAATTTAGCCTTTTATGCATTATTAGGAAATATTTCTTGTAGCTTAATTGCATGAGTAGCTACAGAACTAAGAATTAATGCAGACTTCCATTCTAGTTTTGCATTATTTTGAAAAAATATGAATAAATTAGTGAGTTTTTAATTGATTTCAAAAATTAATGATTAACATTCAAATTGCAAAACTCTTAATATCTTAAAGCATCAAAAAACTATTGAAAATTAAATTATTTTTTAAAAGGAGCAATATCGCTTAATTTAGTCATTACGTTTGAAATAAAAAAGGAATTTAGATAGAAGCACAAAACTACAAAGTTGCTTTTCAGGATTTTTATTTTTCATATTTTATTTTTATCGATAAACTTTTCTTTTCCCTCAATGCTCAAGCAACAAAAAACATGTGAATTTGTTCCGATGCTTCGGTAAGTTTGAAAAACAACAGATTAGGTTCGATGAAAATCAATGAAAATGGTTTTTCGATAAATAGCAGCCTTTGAATTTTTTTGAATGTGCTCAATCGATTTTTTAAGAGTGACGCAAAATAATTTGTGTGAATAATCAAATCAAGCTACATACCATATGCACAGTATATAATTAAATTTTATCGTCTTTATAACGTGTTTTTATTTTTAATATTTGTTTAAAAGTATTAGAATGGTAAAGGATTTTGTCTCGTTTTCATGGAAAATAATTTTAGAACCTTCTTTTGTGAGAGAACGTTTATTTTTTCAATAAACTATTAGAAATATAGGATAAAATATGTTAGATATCTATTTTGGTTGAGAATTTGATTTTTCAAAAAATTGAATTCTAATGTTTTTGGTTAATTTAGAGTATAATGATGGTATTAATTCATATTTTTTAGTCCAAATATAGAATTTGTGAAATTCAAAAAATTGAAATAAGAAATCCCAGTATGACATAAGGTACAACTAAATTACTAAATCAAAATGTTTGACCGAATAAAAATTCGTTATTTATTCACAAATGTTTCTACTTGTTTCTCAAATTAAATTATTATTCAAACTTTTCAGAAGCATATTCAATTTCATGATAATATTTTGTGAATATCTTTATTAATAGAAGTTCATAATTCGGTTCTATCTATCTTATTTTATTACTTTATATTTATCCGCAGAAAAGCGTAAGATTATTAAAATTTTCAATCAGAAGTATAATTTTTACCTTTCATAATAGAGTGGTTAAACAATCATTTTTAATTGATTTTTAAAATTTTCAATTTTCAGAATATAATTTTTCATGACCGAAGAGAACAAATCCAACCCAAATGATATTATCAACTCCAGCTTTAAGGCTGACTATCCTGGGATTATGGATGTCTCACCGATCGAAAAAGTTCAAGAATGGCTTTTTAATTACTATGCAAGAATACAGACAGATACAAAGCCACAGTATATTTTCTCCATGATTACATCTGTTTTTCTCTGCATCCAATCTATCTTCCCAGCATTCGTTTATCACGCATATAAACAAAGAGAAACATCAGTCATTGCATCAATTCTCAGATTTTTGTCTGTAATTTGGATTGGTGGTGCCACTTTTGATGGTGCAGAATACACATCTATAGTGTTTTCATGCATTACTCTCATCATTTTTAGGGTTTTAGTTTTCAGAGCTTATATTTATTCAAGACTGAAATCAATGAAGCCCACAGAAATAGCTCTTGTCTATGGCATATCCACATTCTTATTACCAATTTTACTCTCATTTACAACTTGCACAATAGGAGTTTCAATTGATTCATTAGCACGCAAAGGAGCTGATGCCTTAAAAATAGTAGCATTAATCTTATCAATTATTACATTTCTCTTACAAGTTTATGCTCATTATACTTTCATCTCCCCAAGAATCATGTTTATTCGCGATGTTACTCTTATGTGGACACCAGGCAGTGCAGCATTTATCCCATTAACCACAGGAATCTTGTCTGCTTTGTTCACAGCCGCTCTTACAAATAACGGTGTTCCAGCAACCGTGGAACTTGTTATTATGATCATATATTCCATCGCCGTATCCAGCTACTTATTCCTTGACAGCATGTTCCTCAATAAAATCCTTGGACATGTCTATTGCGCATTATTAATCACAAATGGAACGGCAAACATCATAAATATTGTTGCCAATTACGTCAAAATCGACTATAATATCATATTCTTCATCATAATTGTCTTTGTTATCCTTTCTTATTTAATTTTCCATTTCATCCATTCAAAATTCAGTCAAATTTCAATGGTAACTCTTGATGCAGCCGCTCAGGATGAATATTTCTACGGCAGAAGTGACAACCTCGCCCGTGATGTTCGAAGATCTCTTGATTACTGCTCTCCTGGTGTATTTATGTTCCCTCTCTACGATAATTTCTTAGATGACGACATAACGCAATGCACCGATATGCTTTTCGTGTACGCACGTGTTGTTTCTGCTTTTCCATCTTACAAATACAAGTTGGAAGTCATCAATGACAAACTCAAGGAGTCAAAGATCCCTTGCAGACGTATCCTTAACTTCCAAATCGACCTCCTAATGAGCCACAGAAACACTGCTGCAACACATCAGGTTGTCAAAGCGTTTGAGAACATAGAAAGCCACTCAAAGATACTCCTTTTGAACATTAAAAAATTCTGGGAGAACGTTTTGCACGGAAATACTGATACTTTTTGGGCAAATATTCACGGCTTAGATTTATTAACTACTGATTTGAAGAAAGAGCTCAACCAAATCGTTAATGATTACGAGAACTGCCCAGAAGTTATTTCATTGGCCGTAAAACTCCACTCTTCCCAGACATTTAATTTTGATGAGGCCAGAAGACTCAGATCAGACTTAGATCTCCTCGAGAAAGGCATTCCAGCCCACAAAGACCGAGCTCTCACCAATATGATGGGTCTTTTCCCCAATGTTATGAATTCTATTTCGGATCTTACGAAAGAAATCGATATCGTTGGCACTGCCATTCATAGCGATATCGACTTTGACCAAATGAGCAAGAGAGAAGTCACTTCCGACTTAATAAAGAATTCAAAACTCGGAAATTGGGGAATCAAAGCCCTTTATTTCGGAATTGCCGCAATAATAACCATTGGATTCTATTTGTTGTTCGTTCTTTTGTTCAAAGAAAGAGCTTTGGACGAAATAACAAATACATTTAGTTTCTTGGTCGATGCTAACACATTATTGCACTCATTCTCACGCTACTTCTTCACAAAGGTCCTTTACTACGCGTACCAGCAGCCAGATTCCATTTTCCTGAATGATACAACGACGATGAATATAATTAGTCCATTCTGGTATCCAGCCGGCCATGCCAAGATGGTTGACATCTCAGACCACACTATTCTCAACATCGCCAACCAAATTAGAGATGGTTTGCAGAACATGTCAACAGGATTAGGAGATCTCGACACTTCAAGAGCCGGAATTCTTGATTTTGTTGATTCCTACAACAACTACAAGTTCAACAGCACATCACAGACCATTTCCGAATCAATTATCTCTGTAATGATGATAAATGATTATGATGAGACATTTGTTAACACAACTTTTGAAATTTACGACAAATTCAAGAGTATTCTGACAACAATCTCATCGAAATTGACTTTCTTAAGTTCAATAACAGAAAACATGAATTGGATGGTTTTGTCACTTTTGGTGACATTTTTTGTATGGAGTCTGCCATTGATGTTAACATTTTTCAAGATCACAATACAGATGGAAGAAATTGCCAATTCCTTCTCAAAGTTGCCATCCAATGAAATCAGGAAATTGATAAATTCTGATTCTAAAAAAGATGAATCAGAAAATACTTCACTTATTACGACATCAAGTATCAATTCACTTCGAGGTCCTTTATATGTTGGAACATTTCTTACTGTTGTTCCTGCTGTTGTTTTATGTTATGGATTCTATTTCTATACGAAAGGAATGATTACTAATTCCGATGATTTCGTAAGAAGTGGTGCTGTTTTAAAGACAGCGATGTCTGATTTGAGAATTTCTTTCTTGGCAACAACAATTGCATTCCTTAATTCTTATCCTGATACTAAATACAACCAAAACATTGATTTGGTTAAGAGATTGTTATCATTAAAAGATAAAAAAGTTGATGAAGCGAGATTATCTAATTCATTGCAATTACTCAAATCAAAGACACAAATAGATAATTGGATACGTGTACAGGAAGATTACAGATGGTTGTTCTCTCCTTTGGATGAATCTGAAGATAAAATTCCAATTGCAAAAGCAAATTGGGAAAGATTGGCAAGTTTCGGTTATATCCAAATGTTGGATACATTTATTTTCGTGTCCAAATTAACACAGCCGCAACAAGCAACATCGAAATCGAATGCTAATTACAATGCTTATTTCTTGTGGTGGGTTTATGATGCTGTTGAATCTGCTTATTACGATGTTTTGTCTGAACAAACATCAAAAGATTTGCCAAATGGTCATCAAGCAGTTCCTGTTTTCATCGCTTTGTATGTCATTTGTACTTTGTTTACTTTAGGTTTCATTATCTATGAAATCTGGAGATACACAGAGAACATAAAAGTCGCAATGAGAATGTTGATTTTGGTTGATTTGGACATAATCATGGGACATCAACAACTCTTGAATTTGATCCAATCAGGAAGAAGTTCAAATGAAGTCCAAAAATCAGAATTCAACTATTCAGATCAATACTATTTGAACCACTGCAGAGAAGGAATAGCAATAGTTGATAAGAACTTGGATATTGTTGAATTTAATAATGCTTTCTCGCAAATGTTGCCGGACTGTAAAAATGTTAAAGAATTATCGTCCGACCAATTATCACTTTCAATTTTCAATGTGTTTGAAAATAAAGGTGAAGTGAGATTTTCATCTAATATTAGTACAACTAATACATTAGGTGTTCCTGTCCATGCCAATGTTGATGTTATTGCTATGCATGATACACGACCAGTTTTGCAAAATGAAAATATTGAAATCACAAGTTGTGCAATTATTTTGCAGGATGTTTCGAGTTTCATTGATAGCGAGCAGAAGATCAAAGCAAAGCATAAAGCAATTACTGAGATGCTTCTTAAGATTCTGCCGGAAAGTACATTGAACGATCTCCAGAATGGACAAGATTCAGTTTCATTCACTGTTCACTCTATTTCTGTTGGTGGAATTCAGATCATCATCAATTCAGAAATGGATGTCCAACAGAAATTCAGGTTCTACGCGACATTGTACAAAGGATTCGATGAATTGATGAAACAGTTCTCGACATTGAACAAACTCAAAACATTCGCAGGTCAATACATATACACAGGTGGTTTGTTCATGTCTATCAACAAACCAGAAAAACACGCAGAAGAAAGTGTTAAATTTGTTGTTGAATTGTTGAAAGCATTACCATCATTGAAACAAGCCCTGGAAGCAGATTTCTCACTTAAGATTGGAATTCACACAGGTGGCCCAGTCATTGCAGGTGTTTTATCTCCAGATTTCCCAAGTTTCCAGATATTAGGAAATGTTGATAAATTCGCTGAGAAGATGACGAAAGTCTGCGAACTCGACAAAGTTCGAGTCACTCGATCTGTCTACGAACTCATCTTCAGTGCAGGTTTCCGCATCACCGAGAATGAACCAATGAAGATTGGAACAGAAACAGTTCAATCGTATACAATTGATGTCAAATAATTTAATTTTTATATATTTTATATTTTTTTTTATTTTAAAACTCCATGAAATTTATTTTATATTTTGATTTATTTTTTATAAATTTAGTAAATAAGAAAGTAAGCTTCTTCATTTAATAAAACATAATCGACAAAAATTGAAGCTATTAAGGCTCCAGTCCCACTCTCTCAATTTTGAAAATTGAATATCCGTCAGTAAGAATTTTCATGAATCAAAGTTATTATATTAGTGTAATATAAGCTATAATATTATATTATGATATATGACGTAGCATTCCTAGAAAACTCTTATTGATGGATATATTCAATTTTAAAAATTGAGAGTGTGGGACCGGAGCCTTATTATAGTTTATCTTTTTCGCTTGATTAATGATTTAAAATCTTTAAAATGAGCTGGGTCCGTTATTTCTTTTCGCCTGTATTGTGGAACAAAAAAGTTGCTTCCTGGACAAAGTTCTGTTGATGAGAATCCAAGTGCAAGAGAAACGTTTTTATTCGATATAATCGTAATGTCTTGACATGTTTTACATATTTGTTTTGAATCAATATATGAATTATATATCATTATTGAGCTTGCAGCAAATTCAAACAAATAACGTCCATCATGAATATTATTTGCAAAGAAACAATTTTTAATAGTAGCATTGCATTTATTAAAAGAAAGCAGTTTATAATAAAGTGAACTGTTGTTTATGAATACGTTACTGAAATATTTTAGTAAATTGCAAGTTATAGCAAAATTTTCGTAATCTGCATGATTGTCATTATTTATTGAATATTTTATTAAAACACTTCCATCAATTGTGCCAATGCCAAATGTTGAATATTCTTGACAGCAATTTTTTGTAATGTTATTACATATAATGGATATATTTCCAAATTCTAGAGAGATTGTAGTATATCCAAATTTCTCTTCTCTATTACTAAATATTATCGACGAATCATGAATTTCGTTGATATTTGAGTAATTTTTCGATACATCAATATAGCAAAAGCCCCCAAACCATGATTGAGATCCAAAGCTACAAACTGTGATAAATTTAAAAGAATACGATGATCTAATTTATTAGCTTCCATTGATAAATTTAAAAGAATACGATGAAACAATTATCAGGAGGTCTAAATATTTTAAAACTCTATGAAATTTATTGTATATTTTGATTTATTTTTTTATAGTTTATTTAAACTCAATGAATCTTAACATTGCTTTTATTTAGAAATTAGATCTGGGTTAATGAGTATCTTCTAGCGTTTTTGATCAGGAAAATTTTCAAGGGCTAAAAATGGACCGATATCAGCGCCTAAATCTGTATTTGGAGTCTTTTTTCAACTATTGACATATAATTGTAAACATCATCTTTGTTCCTGATTAGTGGCCAAATCATGGAAAAAGTAAATATTGCAACAATCATCAAATGAATCATGGGCATAATATCATAGAAAATTTTGCAGATAGGTAATTTCGTCTACTGTCAAATCCTGATTAATACTATATTGATGATTTCTTTCGCAAACTGCACATATAATGAGATATTTTAAAAATAAAAGAACTTCGAGTCATTTTTCATTTTTAAATTAAGGAAAAATCAAATTTCAGAGAATTCTACCTCTCATAAACGTTTATATTCCAATAAACCAGCCATAATTGTACTTAACTCTAAAACAATTTAGTAATCACTCTAAAATCTCTAAAATTGATATGTGATAACTTCATATAAACAACTAGACATCATTAATATACTAAAAAATATTAATGCAACTTTTTCATGCTGATTAATATGATGTTTTACTTCATTTGTCAGAAGTTTGAAATATAGTTAGATTGGCCAAAGGGTACTCTTAATATCACAATTAATAATAGATCATTCTGCGACATTAAACGAAACATATATGCATAAAAAGATTATATGTACTATAGAAATCAAAATACTATTAATATGTCAATCAAGCATTGAATTCAAAATAAGAACTGTTCAGCATTCTATTAATAAATATATGGGAGTTTTCATTTTTCGATTGAATGAGAGGCCAAATAATTACTTGCAGGACAGAGTTCTGTTGATCGAAATTGAAATTCAAATGAAATCTTTTTATAATTCACAATTGTTATGTTTTGATCCAAATTGCATATATGATCTGTGGTTTGAATATATGAATTATATGCAGTAATTGAGCCATAATATATGTAAAACAAATAATTATAGTTTTGGCAATTATTTGCAATGTAGCAGCTATTAAAAGTGGAATCACAATTCCAAAAATCAAACATTGCATATTTGGCAGTGTTGTTGATGAAAGCAATCTTTTTATATTTTGATGGTTTATCATCTGTTGTACATATGCTGCTTTCTGCTTGATTTTCATTTAAAATTGAATACTTAATTAAAGAATTTCCTTCTCCATTTCCTATAACAAAAGCTGCAGAATTTTTGCAATAATTCTTTGTGATGTTGTTATTTAAAAATGAAATATTTCCGTTAATTAAATGGTTTGTTGAATATCCATAACGATAACCTCTATTTCTAAGTATTATTGATGAATCATGAACTTCATTGATGTTTATGGGATTATCTAATTGATTAATATAGCAAAAGCTTCCAATATCAGTCGACTGAGATCCATAACTGCAAGTTTTCTTATGGAACTTTGGCCTTGATAGATATAAATTGACCCGCCTTCATTGCAATTTGATGAATTCTCGAAGGAACACCTTGATATAAGGGATTTAAATTCACTAGAAAAAAGATAAATAACTCCTTAGTTTCCAAGATTCGAGAAATAAACGTTGTAAATATAAAAGTCTCCCGAATATCTTTTATATCTCTGGTTATGAGTGTATATGTTGCCATTATATGCAGATTTGTAGACGTCTTCCCATTCATTATTTGACGAAAAATGAAGATTTGTTATATTATGAAGCTTTAAAAGAAAGAGAATAAAATGTCATTTATTACACGTCACATTTTTTGCCAACACAGAAATCCATTTATTTTTTGAATACGGATCCGCCTGATCTCTATCAAAAACCTGTCAACTTTTTCTGAGTATACATATTCAAATAATGGATCTACTTATACCATAAATCTTTCTTCGAAATCAATCATTTTGTATTCTGAAACCATATGATATGATGTATTTGATAAAATACATTGATTCATTATTGAAATGAAATTATTATTCTTCCATATTTTGATTATTCTTTGTATTTTGCTTTAATTAGTGTTTCTTTTATTTTCTAATTACATCTCTTTAAATTTTCAATTATGTTAACATAATATTGAAATATTTTTCTAATTTCAAAATCGAAAATTTAATATATTTCAGTCTTTTAACTTAAGTATCATAATATTCACTTCTCTACATTAATAAAAAAGTTTGTTGCAAGCGTTTATATTGAAATGGAGAGAAATTGTTTTTAAATATTTTAGATGGGTGACATATGGAATCTCTGTGATGCAGTGTTAATTAACATGATAAATCACATAGATAGTTCTTAAGATTTTTTAAGAAAATACTTCGAACAATCTCCAGAACTAACAAAATTCATTTTCATTCACTGTTTTCCATTTGATGAAATTCATGCTGGAAGACAAGCCATTGCATGTATTTTGTCTCTAGATTTCTCAAATTTGCTATGAACTTATCTTCAATGCAGGTTTTCGCATCACAGAGAATGAACCAATGAAGATTGTAGCCAAAAAATTGTATACATATTTCAATCTCCATTTCAAATAATACAAATGTTCATTATAGATATTATTCATTTGCAGTTCGAAGCTGAATAAATTTAAATGACTTATATTGAATCATTATTCAATTAAGTTCAAGTTTGAATTAACATCACTCACATAACGAGGATTTTCCACAAATTATTAAAAATCTTTCATTTAGAGTTTACATATTATATAATTTAAAAAAGCACACAATAAACAAGAGCTTGTAACACCAAAATATACATATATATCATCAAGATATTGAATTATTTAATGAGTTTATCTTTTACGCTTGATTGGTGATTTAAAGTCTTTAAAACGAATTGGATCAGTGAAATTATTTTGCTTGTATTCATAAACAAAATAGCTGCTCCCTGGACAGAGTTCTGTTGATAGGAATTGAAGCTCAATTGAAACTTTTTTATATGGTATGATTCTTACGTCTTGATTCGATTCGCATATTTGTTTAGAATCAATATATGATTTATAAATTGTAATTGAACCAGAATTTTCACTAAAAAAATATTTAACATAGTTATTATTTGCTATGAAACAATTTTCAAAAGTAACATCAGAATTAGTTAACGAAAACAGAACATCACGCCAAGAAGTATTATTAGTCAAAACAGAGTTTCTATATTTTGATGATTTGTCAGATGCTGAACAAATATAGTTATTAGCATCGTTTGCATTAATAATTGAATATCTTATTAATGAGTTTCCTTCACCAGAATTTATGCTTAAAGCTGTAATTGCATGAGCGTCATTTTTTGTGACATTGTTTCGTAAAAATGAAATATTTCCATAATTTAAATAGATTGCAAGACATCCATTCCAACACCAATACTAAATGCCACAGTTGAGTCTTGAATTTCGTTGATACTTGTCGTGTTATCTGGGACAAATATTGTGCAAAACAAACCATATTTCGAATAAGATCCAAAACTACATACTTTGCGAATGGAACTTTGCCCATTCTTGCTATAAATAGACCCACCTTCATTGTCTTTATTATTTGAGTTCTCAAAACTACAACTTGATATAAGTGATTTAACATCACTAGAATTTAGGTGAATAACACCTTCGTTGCCAAGATTCGAAAAATAAACGTCGCGAACATAAAAATCTCCTGAATACCCTGCGTAACTCCGATTTTGATTATGAACTGTGCCTATAAATGAATATTTGTAGACTTCTTCCCATTCATTTGTTGATGAATGATGTTTGTTTAATATATAAGATATAATCAAAGGAATAAACAGAATTTAAAATAATATTCTATTTTTTGACATCATTTTATTTGAATTATTTTTGAATACAGATCCGCTTGAGACCTATCAAAAACCTGACAACTTTTCTGAACTTTCAAATACAAAAGTCGGGTCTACTTATAGTTCAAACAGTTCTTCGGGATCAATTAATTTCTTTTCTATAACAATAGAGCATTATATATTTGATAAAGGATTTTGTTTATTTTCTGAAATGATATTAAATTATTATACCAAAGTTTATTTTATGAAATGATTTTAATGTAATACTAGTTTTTATTCCTTTTTAACAAAATATTAAATTTTTAATTGAGTCATTATTGGATATTTTTTTTAATTTCAATTTTTTATTTTATTTCCAATTTCACTTATCCAGTTATTTTTGATCAATATCCTCCTTGGATATCACATATGCATCACAAAAGAAATATGGTATCCTGAAATCTGATAGTCTTTTATAAGATATAAGCATATATCTCGAGAATTATATATTAATTTCCAATAAGGCACTTCTCAAGATATGTGCTTATTTCTTATATAATCGTCAACATCGTTTTGTATCAGGTTAGGTAGATAATTAAGTCAGTTTTGCAGGGTTTATGAGTCATGATAAATAGGAGGTGATTGAAATCTTAATTGATATTTTGATATAGCTAATAGCAAAACCATTGCATCGATTGTAATGAATCACAGCGAAGATATATTTTACTAATGCAACTAAAAATAATCAATCTTCAGCAATTTACTACAACAATATGAATCTATTAACTTCCCAAGATTTTCCAACTGCAGTATTAATATGTTCAGCAAAAGATATGCATGAGTGTTCAATAAATAAGAATCATTTCATTAAAAAATTTTATACATTTAAACTAAATCCATATTATCTAAGTTATATCTAGATTACAATAATCATTTGGAACCAGATTTTTCAAGATAATTTGCTGATTTTCAATAAAAGAAATAAAATTCTTATGGGACTTTTAAACATCGATTTCAATCATTAAGTGTTCATTGATAACAAATTTTTAATGAAAAAATCTCCAACTGATATCATACTAATATGATATCGTCTATTTAGTCCATCAAAAACCCATAAGGTCACTTCAAATTTCCAAATGCTACATTCTTCAAAGAAATGAGTTATTTATTGTTAATCCAACATTTTACCTTTTACGCTTGACTAATGATTTAAGGTCATTAAAATGAATTGGATCAGTGATTTCATTTCGCTTGTATTGGAAAACAAAATAACTACTCCCTGGACAGAGTTCTGTTGATAGAAATTGAAGTTGAATTGATATATTTGTATAAGGAACAATTGTAATATTTTGAGAAGGATGATATATATGATTAGTAGTATGAATATATGAATTAAATATGGTAATTGAACAATTTTCTGTGTAAAACATATAATTATGCCTTTGGATGTTGTTTGCTATGTAGCAGTTACTAAAAGTGGAATCACAATCCCAAAAATCAAACATTGCTAATGTGGCCGTATTGTTAATGAAAATAATGCTATTATATTTTGATGGTTTCCTTTCCATATTACAAATACTCTTTTCTGCATTATTTCCATCAAAAATTGTATATTTAATCAAAGAATATTTTCGCCACAACATATGTATAAGGCTGCTGGGTATATTCCATAATTTCTTGTGAGATTATTCTGTAAAAGGGAATTTCCTCTTACCAAATATACAGTGCCATATCCTTTTTGATCTCCTCGATTACTAAAAGTTATCGATGAATCATTAATTTCATTAATATTTGTAAGAACATCCGGTTTTTTGATATAACAAAAAAATCCATTACTAGCCGATTGAGATCCAAAACTACAAACTTTTCTAATGGAGCTTTGGCCTTGGTCAATGAAAATAGATCCACCATCTTTCCTATTAGATGAATTCTCGAAGATACATTTTGATATTAACGATTTAATTTCGTCCGATTTAAGATAAATAACGCCTTCATTACCAAGATTCGAAAAATAAACATTATAAACATAAAAGTCTCTTCTGTATGAATTTCTTTCGTATCTCTGATTTTGATTATAAACTGTGCCACTATATGAAGATTTGTAGACTTCTTCCCATTCATCAGCAAATGAATAATGCAGAATTGATATATATGAAACCATAAAGGAAAGAGATAAAGGTAGTATTTTGAATAATTATCGTTTTTTACAACATATAAATGCATTTATTTTTTGAATATGGATCCGCTTGATCTCAATCAAAAACTTGTTAACTTTTTCTGAGCATGTATATTCAAATGTTGGTTCGACTTATGACTCAGAAATTGATTAAGTTCTTCAAGATTAATTAATTTCTATTCAAATGTCATTCAATATGTTAATTCTTTTGTTTCTTTTATGCTAATCGAATTATCAATTTACAAAATTTTGATTATCTTTTGTATTTTACATTAATTAATGGTTCTTTATAGTGATGCCGATTTGGAAGATAATTTTTATTTTAAATTAGATCTTCCTGAAAAAAAAAACATTCTTTAGAAATTAACTTCCAAATCGGTATCATTATTGTTTATTCTTTTTCATATATCATTAAACTTAAATTATGTTATCATTAATATTAATGAAATTTCCTAATAATTTCAAAATTTGTATTTTTCAATAATTTTTGATCGATTGCATTATGTAATATCACATCTGCATCATAAGTGTCACAACATTGAATAAGGTAGACCTGAATAATTTTTCCCCCTAAGATATATATGTTTTAGGTCATAATGGGTTTTAATAGTCTTTTGATCATGAAATGAAAATCAATACTTATTATTATGTTAGAATTGTACTTTGAATCACTTTTGGTATGGAAATCTATAATTTTGTAAATGATTTTATATTTTTATCAATTTGGCAAATATATATAACACGAACTCTGCAAGAGAAAGTTCTATTAAGCTATTTTGCTCCCTGATGAACAATTATTTATTTTATATCATGTGCTTGCGAATTGAAGAAATTATCTAGAACATATGAAAGCGACTAAACATATGTCATTTTTTTAACCCTACCTTTGAGGATATTGTATACTACTAGGACAATTTTTAGAAATATCTTATTTTTGGAAGGACGATATCCTATTTATTTTGTTTATAAATAGCCTTAATAGATTTAGGATTTTGAATGCAGTTGACTATGAATGTATTAGAACGATGTTGATGAAATTGCAAAGATGGACAAGAGAAAATATACATTTTTCGGCTCAAAATAACCGAATATTTGAGAAAAATTCGTTTCCGATAGGATTTTATTGTAATTTGAAAAACATTTTGTATTTTCATATTCAGTTCAGATAATTATGTGCAATTTTTACGGATTTTGATGAGTTATATTGGAAGAATGATATTTGATTGCATTAGAAAAATCAGAAATCTATTTCGAAATGAAGGTACTTTTGAATTGTGAAATAGAATGATTAGTTTGATTTCAATCAGAAGTAACTTTCTTGCTCAAGAATTTTTAATAATGGAAATCAATAATGTAAATTATAATTGTGTCACTTTTCAATTTTTAAAGAAATTAGATCTAATTTTTGACAATTCATTCAATTCTCACTAATTAAAAAATCGTCTGTAACCACGCATTCAAAAAGAAAGATTATTGTCACTTTTAATGTAATTGTAAAAAACTAAAAATGAGTACAAATCTCTCACAGATGATCCGTCAAGCAGAAAAGTTTATGGGCCAAATGGAGAACACATTGTCCGAAATGCAAAGTAAGATAAGAAATGGAACAATATCAACTGAAGATTTCTCTCAAATTAACAAATCAAATCTTGTTTCATTAGAAAAACTAATTACAGATATTTCAAGGCCATGTATATCAAGATCAGACTATATCTTATTAACATTGAATAAAATGGAGAGTCAAATATATGCTTCTTAAGATTTTGCCAGAAAGTACATTGAACGATCTACAGTATCGACAAGATTCAGTTTCATTCACTGTTCACTCTATTTCTGTTGGTGGAATTCAGATCATCATCAATTCAGAAATGGATGTCCAACAGAAATTCAGGTTCTACGCGACATTGTACAAAGGATTCGATGAATTGATGAAACAGTTCTCGACATTGAACAAACTCAAAACATTCGCTGGTCAATACATATACACAGGCGGTATGTTCATGTCTATCAACAAATCAGAAAAACTCGCAGAAGAAAATGTTAAATTTGTTGTTGAATTGTTGAAAGCATTGCCATCATTGCAGGTGTTTTATCTCCAGATTTCCCAAGTTTCCATATACTATGTTAATTATGGGATATAAATATTTTATTTATAAAAATTCAGTTTATATCAAATTTGAATAATAACATCTATATAGAACTGAGTTTCAAAACCTTAAATAAAAATTATTTGATGAAGTTACCTTCTTCGCTTGATTATTGATTTAAAATTTCTAAAACTAATTGGATCAGTGATATTATCTTGCTTGCCTTCATAAACACAATACTTATTTCCTGGACAAAGTTCTGTTGAAAGAAATTGAAGATCAATTGAAACTTTTTTATAAGGTACAATTGTAACATTTACTTTAGGATGATATATTAAATATGAAGTTCGAATGTATGAATTATATATGGTAATTGAACCATTAAATAGGTAAATCATAGCTTGATAAGTTTTAAAGTTATATTCAATATAGCAGTTATTAAAAATAGCGCCTGATATCCAAAAATAAAACATTGAAAAATTGAAAGTATCATTAATGAAAACATTGCTGTTAAATTTTGATGGTTTCAAAAAAACTCCACAAGTAAAATATCCATGATTTTTTTCAAAAATTGAATATTTAATCAAAGTTTCACCTTCGCTTATACTAATTGCTGTACATTGGCCATAATTTCTGGTCATATTGTTTTTTAAAAATGATGTTCCATTTTTCAAATAAACATTAGAATGCCCATAAGAAATTGCTATATTACTAAAAGCTATCGATGACTCATGAACTTCATTGATATGGTTTAAACCATCATACCCATGCCTTAAAACACAGCAAAAGCCTCCCATATTATGTGATCGAGATCCAAAACTGCAAACCTTTCTAATGGAACTTTGACCATATCCGAGGTAAATTGAGCCACCCTGATTCTTATTAGATGAGTTCTCAAATGTACACATTGATATTAATGAATTAATTTCTTTTGAATAAAGAAAAAACGCCATCATTGCCAAGATTCGAAAAATAAACATTGTAGACATAAAAATCTCCTCTATATCTATTACCAGTGTAACTCTTATTTTGATTATAAAGTGTTCCATTATATGATGATGAGTAGACTTCTTCCCATTCATCAACATATGAATGATGTAAATTTGAAATGTAAAATAATATAAAAGAAAGAGATGAAGTTTGCATTTTTTTAAAAAAAATGAACATTTTCTGACATTTTACAAATTGATTTATTTTTTGAATATGGATCCGCTTGACTTCTATTAAAAACCTATCAACTTTTTCTGAGAATGTATATTCAAATATTGGACATAATAATGATTCATTAATTACTTCAAAATCAATCATTTCTATTCTTTTGCATCCAACATGATGATTCTGTGCTTGTTTAATATATCTCGAATAATCATCTTACAAAATCTAGAATATCATTTGAATTGTCAATTTAACTTTTTATTTTTTCCTCATTTCATTAAATTATAATCATGTTATCAAATTAATATTCTTCGAATTTCAAAACTTGTATTTTTCAATAATTTTTGATTGATAAATATCAGGAATGTCTCTTCTATTGAAAAAAAGTCATAATATTGTAAATACAAATTCTCACCCAACATATGGTAACACTAATGTTAGAAAATCGGATTTTGATATAGAAATAAAAAATACTCAAATGTACTTTTTCTCTATGATAGAATTGATATTACTCACTAATTAAAAAATCGTCTGTAACCACGCATTCAAAAAGAAAGATTATTGTCACTTTTAATGTAATTGTAAAAAACTAAAAATGAGTACAAATCTCTCACAGATGATCCGTCAAGCAGAAAAGTTTATGGGCCAAATGGAGAACACATTGTCCGAAATGCAAAGTAAGATAAGAAATGGAACAATATCAACTGAAGATTTCTCTCAAATTAACAAATCAAATCTTGTTTCATTAGAAAAACTAATTACAGATATGTCAAGATCATGTATATCAAGATCAGACTATATCTTATTAACATTGAATAAAATGGAGAGTGAAATCAGAACAGTTGATGGTTTGATGCTTGCAGCGAAAGGCAAAGTCGGTGCATCGATAGTGAAAGATTACATCAAGCGCCAAAGGATCCCAGATAAGATCCAATACACTCCAGCAATGGAAATTGATCAACCACCAGCGATTGATTACGGAAATATCAGCCATAATTCAAAGCCTGGTGAATGTATTAATTTTGATTTATTTGACTCCATTGGAATCCCATTTGTTGAACACATAACTGATGATATTCCAGATGCAGTATTAATTACTACAAAACCCAAAGAGTATTGGGCAGAACGTCAAGATTTCTTCAAACAGAACTAATTATTTCATCTTTTTTATTTTATTTTTACTTGCTTTAATTATGACAAAATGAATTTTGTTTTTATACCTTGTTGAATCATATTATCTGTATATTCATACTAGAAAAGTGATTTCTGAGTAAAATAATGCATTGTTTTGCTTAGATTTTTTTTAGAAATTAATAAAGTTTTAAGTTTAGACACTAATCAAAGACATGCATACTGGAGTCGATTTATTCAACTGTTTAAAATGTAAATCACTTATGAACAGAAAAAAACAAAAATTTGAAAGAAATTGATCAGAAAATCATGTTTCATTTAACATAAAATCTATCTAAATAATCAAAGTTATAATTTAGCTAAAATTTTCAAAATATCAAATTAATTTTTTTAGTAGTATATGATGCGGGTTGTGTGACTTTTTTTGTAATCGTAAGAATTCTCACATAATTGAATGATTTTTGAACATACTTCCGAATAGCAGATTTTAAAAATTTATGAATAATTTATAAAAAGTTTTTATTCCTACAATTCCTATATTACCATTAATAAAAAGAATATATTTTTGACGAAGTGAAGATTCGCACTTCGTCACAAAACTCCGAAAAAATAAAGTTAGATTTTTTTATTTAATATAAAATGTATGGAAAAAGAATAATATCTGATTTTGAACATTATTTGATTGATTTACTAATTGATCCACAAAGCTGTTGTAAAATTAATTTTGAATTTAAAATTAAAGGAACCGTAAATTTTGTATTTATTTATCACTTAAAAGAATATGACCGATATCATAATTTGATATATGAAACTAATATAATATTTGAAGATAACAAACTTACAAGCTTCGAACATGAAAATGATATAATATTCGAAGATGAAAAAAAGAAAGAGATTGAAAAGCAATTCAATGAATGCCTTTTAAATACATATGCGCACATTATAAGACATAAAATGAAATTAATTCCTTATTAATCAAAAATATTTTTTATCTTTATATAAAGATGACAAATAGAAAAATAATTTTTATCTGATAGAAATAATACCTACAAATGACGGTATATAAAAAATTGACTTCTTACGTAAAATTAAAACTAAGTTAAATTTATTTTTTTTATTTTTTATTTTATAATAAATGAGTATAACAACTAATTCATTGAAATCTTTAAAGTTCACTAATTCAGAATTAGAAAATATTTTAGAAAATTTTGGAGACGGTTCTTATCCAACATATATGCAGAATGTGAAAGAGTTTTCCAGATTGTTGAATGAATTTAAATATAACGGACCAATTACTAAAAAGGCTATAATGAGATATTTATATCCCAAAAAAGTTGAAAAACAGGAGAATATTCCTCTTTATGGTCCAGAGGACCTGGGCTCAGAGAGCCTTGAAACACCTCCTGAATATTTTGAAGAAAAAATTAAACAAGATGAATATTATAACGATGAGATTGAGAAATTGGAACAATTAAGAAATGAAATAGATGAAAGAATTAGTGAATTGAGAAATGCTGAGAATGAAGTAGAGGGTTTAATGAATATCCCAGCTTCAGAATCAGAAGTTCAAAAATCACATGAGGAAAGATATAAAAATTACTTTTTGGAATCTACTAAAAATTTATTAGATGGTGATATTGACGAAACACTTTCAGAAGAAGGCACAAAATTTATTCATAAACATAAGCTTCAGTTTATTGACGATGGAGATTATCCATGTATATTACTTTCACCTCCTCTTGATTCTGAAAAATTCAAAAAAGCACTGAAAAATGTAACATATGCAACAAATACGATTAAGAAAGAAGACCATGATATTTACACAAATTATTATTTAAATAAATGTACAGGTGTTGATAAAGTTTTTGATTTGTTAGATAAAATATCAAAAGAAACAATTGGTACATATAAAATTTTATGCGATTGTGGTTTCATTATTGAAGATACCAATAATGTTTCATATGAAAGAACAGCACCGAAGGAAGACGAAGTTGAAAGGTCTATACCATTCGTTATTAAGAACATAAAAGATATGAAAACTTATAAACATTATATTTATTCATTTATTTCAGAAAAAATGGAAGCAACCCATAAAACATCATCTCATCATTTTATAGCTATTCATACATTCCTTTTCAAAGTTGTGAAATTAAATAAGACAGGAATTAGATTTAATGTATCAGGGTACGCATTCTTGAGTAAATTAAAATGTATTCGTCACGTCGCAGATGATAAAAATTTATGTGTTCTTAATTCATTTTATGGACTTTAGCCCTGGACTCTCTGAGTCTCGGACTTTAAAAAAAATAAACTTTATTTTTATTTATTTTTTAATTTTTATTCTTACATAAATGAACAAAAATGGAACAGCTAAAATGAATGATAATCAAATAAGAGCCGAAGGTAGAAGGTTATTTAAACGCTTCTATAACATTCCTGATGGTGTTAATCCTAAAACTCGTAGAAGTTATTTAAATGAAGCCATAGATGCATATGAAGGATTTGACATTTCATCAGAAAGTGAGAGGTTAGCAAGAATGTTAAACGTTAATATTGATTTTTATTATTGTGACCCTCAACCAGAAGACGTAGACATTAACAAGGTAGACTTTCCATTAGTGGAATCAATAATGATAGATCCAGAATTTGAAACAGTAAATATTTTATTAACACAGAGTCCATGTGGAAAACTTCACGCTGACAGAATTACAGACGTTGAAGCACTCACAGGATATAAAGTTTGCCCCTTTTGCAAAGAAGAAGTATATTCTATCCGTGATGATCCAGAAAGGAAAAACCAAAGAAGATTTTTAAAACATTGTGAGAAATGTAAAGAAAATAATGGAAGATTAATTCAAGACGTTCAATTGCAAAACACACAACAACCATATGCACCACATATCACGAAACAGAAGATATATCAATGGCTATTAGCACATAATTTGCAGGAATATTATAAACCAACAAGATATTATATTACTTTTGACTTCGAAACATTAGAGACTAAAGAAGAACTTCAACTTTCTGAATGTGCAACTTTGAACGCTTACTTAAAACCATTTATGGTATCATCAACTGTCAAAATAAAGCCGCAAAGCGGCGAGGTCGTAGACCGTGATAAAACATTTACGAGGAATTTTTGCTTAACATCAAGTGATTCGTTCATCTCTGATTGGATTGAATTTTTATTTTCAACCTGTTCATTAGTTGCTAAATCAAATATTGAACAATATGAAGAATTAATGAATACATTAAATGAGAAACAAAAGGAAGCAATGAAAGAGCTTTTAGATGAAGAATTTAATAAAGTGAATATCATTGGTTTTAATTCGGGAAAGTTTGATTTAAATTTAATTCTTCGTGATTTAAATACTGCAAAATGGAAGATAAAATCAATGCTGGGTTCTTCTTCTCAATTTAAGCAAGTCATAGTAAAGAAAACAAACTGTCCATATGAATTAAGATTTATTGACATCAGAAATTATATAGCGGGTGGAACATTAGACCAATTCACTCAAGATTTCGGAAACAATAAATCACGTGTTAAATCCTTTTTCCCTTATCAATTCATCACATGGGAGAATTACGAAGATGAATTATATAAAAAGGAACCATTCACTCAAGATTCATTTTATTCAGCATTAACACAAGAAACAATATCCGATTCAGATTATCAAATATATCTCAATGATGCTAAAAATTTTGAGAATAGATTAGAATATTTTATTCATTATTGCAATAAAGACGTTGAAATTATGATTGACCCAATTGATAAAATTATCGAAGAAACATTTGTTTATAAAATTGACATGCTTCATAATCTTTCTTTATCATCGAATGCATCAATGATTCGTTACGCGTTAGCATATAAGAACTTCAATCCTAACGAAACATATCCAGAAGAAGAAAATGTGGAATCAAGTTTTGAATTAACAAAAAAGTATTGGAAATATAAAATTGATTCATATAAGAAACAAGATGAAAAGGCGAAAAGAGATACCAAAAACAATGTTTCAATGGATGACTATCAATACTATCACGATTTAATCCTTTCATCTAAATGCAAAATGTGTGGTAAAGCGTTTACATATGTAAATAAACCAACATTGGATAGAATCGATAATGAAAAACCACATACCAAAGAAAATTGTCAGTTAATGTGTTGTTATTGCAATGTCGTAAAATCAAATAAAGATGAAGATGTTCAACGTTTAAGAATCAATTTAAGAAATTATGCATTAAAAAATAATTTACCAATGACTTTAGATTCAGTTGAAGCTTATCACATTCTCCGTAATGGAATTACTGGTGGTCTATCAAATGTTCAACATCGTGTTAATCTTAAAGGAATCACGCACATTAATAAACTTTCATATAATCCAGAAACTAAAACTGTATCAAATGAGGACACCACCAACATTATGACTCATTTCGTTGGTGTTGATTTTAATTCATTATATCCTTCATCATTTTCATCTAATCCTCATGATTTCATTCAATATACTGACCATAAAATGTATATGCCGGGAAGATTGAATGGTGTTATCATTTGTGATACAGCAACAAAGAAAGCAAAAGCACTGGGAATAATTAAGAAGAAAAATACTTTATTCGTGGCTGAAGTAAAGGGTCACATTGATGAAAAATACATTAATGATTACATAAACTTTTTACCGATAATAAGAAACTTAGATATTATCACAGATGAAAAAACAATTGGCAGTTTTATGTATAATTACATGAAATCAAACAATCTACCAGTTGACCAGAAACAGAGAAAATTAACTCAGTTAGCATCAACACACAACCAATATCAACCATTTTCTTCTTATTATCTTTGGTATCTAATAGACAGGTTTAATTTTATCATTGATGACATTCAATCAATTTTAACATTTACGAAAAACACTTGCTTTAATGAATTTGCGAACGAATTTATGAACGAAAGACAAAAGGCTGAATTAGAAGGAAATAAAGGGAAAAGTTTATTTTGCAAGATTTCACTTAATGGATCATATGGTT